ACAACAGCCACAACCCCACGGCAGCCACGGAGTAACCCCCCCCAACACCTCCCCGGGGCATCGCCGTGCCTAATGAGGCGCTGGCGGTGTTTGTTTAGCGCGCAGCGTTCCGTCTCTATCCGCGACGTCCCGCGACCCGTGGCTCGGAGGGGGAGGGGTGGAAGGTGGAAGGGGGCAGAGGGGAAGGGTGGGGGGGCAATGGGGGGGGGGGGGGGGTCGATGCGAGCTCCGAGGGCTCTGCCGACAGTGGAGTTGAACGGGGCAGCTGAACTAAAACTAAACATCACTATCTTTATTTATTTCTATACCAGGTAAGGAAGGTCCCGCCGAGGTGTGTAGTTCTTTTTCAGAAGCGACCTGGCTTATCGCAAATGTTCGCTCAGCGGAGCGGCTCATCACGTGGACATTCATAGCCGCCGAACTGCTCTGAACGCGTGATGCAGATTCTAAACGTGGAGTGGGGAAAACCCACGCGACCATCAGGAGAGACAGAGAGACGCGCAACATTCAAATATACAGCAGGCGTCAGAGTCGGGATCGAACCAACGACCTCCTGTATATTTGGCGAGGTCGTTAACATCTCATAGCCACGGTGGCGCCCTGGATTGGCCAGTGGGGACCGCTGGGTGGTCAGCTCAGAGCTCAGAGCAGAGGCGGATCCAGGGGTGGCGTGGGCTAGAGGGGGGGGGGGGGGGGTCGGAGATGTGGGGGACCAGCCCCGCCCCCCCCCAAGCCCCCCCAAGCCCCCCCCCACCTTCCATTCCCACCTTCATGTCCCGAGAACTGCATTGATAATTTACCGGAGAAAATACCTTGAATGCTTTCAAAGCTCGCGATGAACAACGTCGATCCCGAAAGCGCGATTCAAGCAAAAGCGGCATGCGAATGCTGTTCCACCTCGTTTAATGGGCCGAGCGAGAGAGAACAGAACGAGGCAGGTAACCGAAGGGGTTGGGTACACACGAGGGAGCAGTAGCAGCCTTTATTTAACGAGGAGCTGGCGCGTGCAGTGACCTGGGGGACGTAAGGGAATTGAAGTACAATTTGGCAATGACATCTGTCGAATCGCAACACCTGGGTCTCTGCCCCGTGATCTCCTGCCAGCAGCGAGCCTCGATGTGTACCTAGCCTGGCACGTCAGTTGACCCGCCTCCTCAAGCCTTACAAACATTTCAGAGACTGCCTCCGTGTGCACCTGGCCCGGCGCATGCGCTGCCGGTGACGTTAGAGTCACCAAGAGGCGAACGGCGGCTTTTGTTGTTGTTGTTGGGGGGGGGGGGGGGGGCTGGGGCGAGGGAGGGGATGCGGATAAAGTTGGGGGAGGGGTTGAGGTGGAAGAGGGGGACGGGGGGAGGTGGAGGGGAGGGGCTGGGTGGGGGAGGGGGTTGGGGGCCACGTGCCCCCTGGCACCTGTGTCCCAGGTGCCTCGCTATTGTCCTGTCGCTGTTGTTTTTTTGTGTTGGTTTGTATTTGTTCGCTGTTGTTAGGAGACAGGATCACTAAAACACACGACGCGCCCCCCCCCCAAACCCCCCACCCACTCCCCCCACTGCTATGAACAAGGGCCAATGCCCCGAAACGTCGGGTTGTATTGTAACGTTGGTGCTTGTGCACCGCTGCCAACGCATTATCCATGCGGAGACAAAGGCGCGTGTCTGTGTCGAAGGGGGTGCGGTAGTGCAGTGGTTAGCGCTCTGCGCTACGAACCCCAGCGCCTCGAATTCCAGCTAACAGCGGTGGCGAAGTAACTTAACCGGTCCTGGGCCTCCCCGAGGTCGACTCAGCCTCAAATGAATACCTGGTGCGGTGTGTATTCAACGACCGGTGCTGGGGAGACAGAGGCCGTCGAGCTGAGTGCTGATCAAAATAAGAAACATCTCGTTTGTGCCGTGTCGTGTGTCGGCCAGTACGGCACTTCCGACTTACCGGCGAGGGGGTGCCATTATAGCGCGATTGTGACGTCACAATCATCACACACGCGCGCGAGCGTGCAGGGGCACCCGAATCACGTTTCGGTGACACTGAATAATTCTCACTCCCGAGAGCGATCATGTCTAGTGTCCCCCTCTGATCATCGTTCACGTGACGGTAACATCGGTGGAACTGAGATCCCACCACCACCACCACCACCCCAACTCTTTCGCTCCTCCGCTCCCCCCGTCTCTCCATCCCCGTGTATCGCCAGCGCCGCCTCGCTTCCTCTCGGCTGCATTCGTCCAACTCTCTCATTCCACATTAGATCGTGAGCACAAGTTTAGCATTGTAGCCATTCATATGGCGCGGAGTCGCTACGTTCCTACAGACGGGGTGGGTATTATCGTAATCAGAATTTTTAAAATTTATACTGGAGGAATCCGATGGGCTATAAAGCTCTTTTTCACAGATGTCCAGTAGGGGCGGGTCAGAACGTTACAACAACAAACAGTACAAAGACACGATAGGAGGACATCATATAGGAAAGGTAAATAAATCATTTACAAATACACAAATAAAACGAAACTATATTTTTTATCTTGCCAGGTAAGACCCACTGAGAAATTAACATTTTTTTCATATGCGACCTGGCCACAAGTGATAGCTCAACAAAGTGGCCCCATCGTTTGGACATTGACAGCACCAAAATAATCTAAATAATCCCAATGCATGATTTCTAAACGTGGAGCGAAAAACCGGAGGACCCGGAGGAAAAAAAAACTCAATCCACGCGACCACGGGGAGAGAGACACGCAAACTCCAAAAAGCTCCCCCTTTCATCCCTCTCTCCCTTTAACTTCTCATTCCCTCTCCCTCTCTCTCTCTCTCTTTCCCCGCAACGCGTGGCGCACGCGGCCTCTGGGCTGTATGTATGTTGACCTTTTTTCGCACCGTACGTAGCCAACCTGTGCTAATCGGAGCTCGCTCTTGTGCCCGTGGCACGAGAGGCGAAGGTCGTTGCTCAGAGAGCGCCAGATGCCGACACCGACCGGCCGATCACGATTACGGCAGCGGGTTACCGGCCCGCGCGGTGCGCGAGCATCAGCGGTTGGAGAGACGAAGGCGCGCGCGCGTGTGTGTGCACGTGTGTGCGTTGTGGCGCCTGTGTATGTGTGTGTGTTGTCGTGTGTGGGGAGCGGTGGTGCAACGGTTTAGCGCGCTGCGCTACGAACCTGGGCGACCCGAGTTCGATTCCCGCTCATGACGATTATCTGAACCGGTCCTGGGCCTCCCCTAGGTCGACTCGGACTCAAATGAGTACCTGGTGCGGTGTGTAAACATCGCCACGAGGGAGACAAAGGCGGCCCGGCGTGATGTTGGCCACCCACCCCCTCGTGTGCCGTGCCGGCTTTTGTAGGTGCTCGCTAACAGCACTTGCCCCTGCAGTCTGTTAATACTATATGGGGGATCTTTGTGTTTTCGTGGGGAGTGGTCGTGCAGCGGTTAGCGCACAGCGCTACGAACCTGGGCGACCCGAGTTCGATTCCCGACCGCGGCAAACACCAGTTACGATTATCTGAACCGGTCATGGGCATCGGCTAGGTCGACTCAGCCTTAACATTAGTCCCTGGTGCGGTGTGTACACATCGCCACTGGGGAGACAAAGGCGGTTGGAAGTGGTATTGGCCACCCACCCCCTTCATTAGCTGTGTTGGCCTTCGTCTGTGCTCGCTGACAGCACTTGCCCCAACAGCATACTACTGGAAGTGGGCTATACGGAGGATGTTTGCTATTGTATGTGAGGTTTCAATAATAATCTCAACTTATAATCACAAGCAAAGCGCGAAGGCAGCCGCCAGACGGTTATCAGATACTACCAACAAGTATCCAAGCTCTGCGTTCCTCGATATTTTCAGCTGTTTCAGTGACACCATGTTCAGTGAGTTTTCACAAGAAAAAGCAGGTTGATCATCATCATAATCAACACCCATGATCTATCCACTGATGGACAAATGCCTCGCGGTCGTGCGATGGACGGAAGCTGCTACTACCCAGCCATCTGTGGCCAGGTAGCTTCTAAAAAAGAAGCTAACATCTCATTGAGCCTTACCTGCTAAGATGAAAAAAAGTTTTATTTGCGTATTTTTAAGTGATTTTTCCTATGCGATGCACTCGTATTGTGTTTGTATTGTTTGATGTTTGTTGTTGTAAAGTTCTTACCCGCCCCTACGAAACATCTGTGAAAAACGAGCTTCATAGCTCATAGGATTCCTCCGGTGTCAATAAATATTCAGATTCTGATCTCGGCGCTGCACCGTGAGCTGATCCGCATCGCTGCATCCATCCTGGCCAGCTCCTCCTTTGCCTGTCACTCCGTCTTTGGGTCTCGACCGCTAGTTTACCATCAACCAACACCACCACCAATCACCACCACCACCACCAACCAACCACCAACAATCACTACCACCAACCACTACCACCAATCACCACCAGCAACCAATCACCACCACCAACCACCACCAACCAACCACCCCTATCACCACCACCTATCACCACCACCAATCACCACCACTACCACCACCAACCACCACCTATCACCACCACCACCACCAACCACCACCAACCAACCACCACCTATCACCACCACCTACCACCACCAATCACCACCACTACCACCACCAACCACCACCTATCACCACCACCAACCAACCACCATCAATCACCAGCACCAACCAACACCACCAATCAGCACCCCACCACCAACCAGCACCACCACTAACCACCACCCACCACTACCAAATCAGCACCACAAATCGCCACCACCAACGAGCACCACCACTAACCGCCACCCACCACTACCAAATCAGCACCACAAATCGCCACCACCAACCAGCACCACCACTAACCATCACCCACCACTACTAAATCAGCACCACAAATCGCCACCACCAACCAGCACCACCACTAACCACCACCCACCACTACCCAATCAGCACCACAAATCGCCACCACCAACGAGCACCACCACTAACCGCCACCCACCACTACTAAATCAGCACCACAAATCGCCACCACCACTTCCAGCCGTGGCGTGCCCCTGCGCGCGACGTCAGCCTTAATTGGAGATAATCACAGAGGGTGTTTCACTGTCACTGGGAGGTAAAGGGATCAATGGGCAGGCAACGTCTCCTTCCTCTCAGTGGCACGAAACACAACCCTGTTATTACCGTAATGCACCTGATATGTATACACTGTGTGTGTGTGTGTGGAGGGGGGGGGGGTGTATGGGAATGTGTGGCGGAGCGGTGGCGCAGTGGTGAGCGCAGGTCGGCGATGTCAGCCACGTGGAACGGAGTGGGCTCGCGAAAGTTCGCGAGGCCGTCGTCCCCCGTGGAGATGGAACGACGGATTCACGTGGGTGCGCTGGCTGGGCTGGTGCACATGGCAGCGTGCGGCGAGAAGTTTCTGGGAGGGCGGATGTTTGGAGGGAGGCCTTCGTCCGGCAGTGGATTGACCATGGCTGAAAATAATTCTTTACATACGGTAAGCAAAGTGTGTGCACGTATGCGTGCGTGTGTGCGTGTGTGTGTAAGTGGAGAGCGGTGGCGGACCGCTACGAACCCCGGGCAAAGCGAGTTCGATTCCCCGCTCGCCAACGCCATCTGCACCGATCCTGTCCCTCCTCAAGGTGGACTCAGCCTAAAAATGGGTAAGCACCCGGCGCGGTGCGCAAACGCCGGCATCGGGGAGATGAAAGCGACCGGGCGTTGTCCACCTGGCCTCGTCGTGCGCCTTGCCCGGGGCCTTTACAGGCGTTCGCCAGCAGCACTTGCCCCAACAGTCTGCTGAGGCTATACAGTGGGTGGGGACCTTTGTATTTGTGTGCACGCGCGTTGCGAGTGCGTGGTGGCATTGCGAACTGCGCGATTCGCGTTACAATCCTGACGCACGTCACAAACCGACCAAATGTTCATTAGAACCTGTGCCCCGGCGTCTCCGCTCGATCGACTCAGCCTCATATGAAGGAACTTGATGGCCGAGACAAACGAGCCGTGGGCTGGTGGGGTGTGGGGTGGGCACCGGCCACACCACTCCTCAGCGGCCCCTTCAGAGGTGCCAGTGGGCCAACAGCACTTGCCCCAACAGTCTGTCGAGGCTACGTGGGTTGAGGTGGGGGGGGGAGCCTTTGTCTTTGTCTTTGCGTCGCCGCGCGCATTCCGCCCGTTTTAGACTGCGGCGCGCGCGGCCCGTGCGCGCGCTCGGGGTGGAGGATCAATCACCCTGGAAACGCCGTCCCGTTGCCATGGTGATTAATTCCACTGGCCGAGCCCGACACCCCGCGGAAACCTGACGCCTTCCCCCGTGCCCCCCCCCTCCACTCCTCACCCCTCCCTTCACCCCCCCCCCCTCTCCAACTCAGATGCCCCTCCCATGCAGTTGTGGCCACAGTAACGTATTTGTGGCTCCTGACGGCCCCCCCCCACTCCACCGCAGCCCCCCCCCTGCCCCCCCCCCCTGCCACCCCCCCCCCCCCGTAGCGGGCAAACACACCCCCGCCCCCCGTCACATCAGTCACCCGGCGCCGCGATGACGTCACGCACCGCGTGCACGTCTGACAAAGATAAAGTTCCCCCGTGTAGCCTTTCAACAGACTGTCGGGGGGCAAGTGGTGTTAGCGAGCAGCACCTATGAAGGGCCGGCACGGCACACGAGGGGGTGCGTGACGAACACCACGCTCGACCGCCTTTGTCTCCCGAGTGGAAATGTTTTTTTTTCTTCCGCATCGCACCAGGTACTCATTTGAGGCTGAGTCGACCTAGGGGAGGAGGCGCAGGACCGGTACAGGAAATCTTCACTGGTGTTGGTGGCCGTGAGCGGGAATCGAACTCGCGCACACGTGCACACACGTACATGCACACACGTACACACACACACACACGTATACACACGTACACACACACACGCACACACACACGAACACGTACACACACAGGCATACACACACACACGTACACACACACACGTACACACACACACACGTACACACACACACGTACACACACACACGTACACACAAACACGTACACACACACACACGCACACACACACAGGCACACACGTACACACACGTACACACACACACACACGTACACACACGTACACACACACACGTACACACACACACGTACACACACACACGTACACACACACGCACACACACACGTACACACACACACGTACACACACACACGTACACACACACACACACGTACACACACACACACACGCACACACACACACACGTACACACACACACGCGCGCACTCCGCGCGCCGTAATTGGCGCACGACGGCGAGGGGACTGTGTTGAGCGCGTGACGACCCCGCTACGGGGTTCCCCTAGGGGACCCCAGCGCGGGGGGGTTCGGTCCCCTAGGACCCCGCTACGGGGGATGAGGAATCTCTTGAGTCGGGGCCGGGAAAGACCCCCTGCTCAATTAAACGCCCATTCACATAACACGAGCAACGACATTCCGCCGGCAATCAACGAAACCAACATCACCACGGACATAATCACTACCACCACCAGCAGAAGCAGCACCAACACCAAAATGACTACCACCACCAATATCACCACCACCACCAGAATTACCTCCACCACCATCAGAATTACCACCACCAGAATTACCACCACCACCAGAATCATCACCACTACCGCCACCAGAATCACCACCACCACTGCCACCAGAATCACCACCACTACCACCAGAAACACCACAACTCCTAATCGCCACCAACGACCACGGTTGGCCCTTAGCACGGTTGGCTCTGAGCACGGTTGGTTCTTAGCACGGTTGGCTCTTAGCACGGTTGGTTCTTAGCACGGTTGGCTCTGAGCACGGTTGGCTCTTAGCACGGTTGGCTCTTAGCACGGTTGGTTCTTAGCACGGTTGGCTCTTAGCATGGTTGGCTCTGAGCTTGGTTGACTCTTAGCACGGTTGGCCCTTAGCACGGTTGGCTCGTAGCACGGTTGGCTCTGAGCTTGGTTGGCTCTTAGCACGGTTGGTTCTTAGCACGGTTGGTTCTTAGCACGGTTGGCTCTTAGCTCGGCTGGCGAAAGAAGTTGTACATAAAGTGGCCATTAAAGATACCCACTGACGACATCAACGGTCCAATTTGACGCAACAGCAGCACCATCGCGCCCCCATTGTGAGACTACTAAAGTCCTCTTGTTATAATAAGTAAAATTATCACCGATGATTCTAGTTGGTGACGCGCTAATCACTGCACCACCGCTCCCTATACGAATACAAATATCCCCCGTATAGCCTTAACAGACTGTTGGGGCAAGTGCTGTTAGCGAGCACCTATGAAGGCCGGAACGGTACACAAGGGGGTGGGTGGCCAGCACCACGCTACTTATTTGAGGCTGAGTCTACCGAGAGGAGGCCCAGGTCCGGTTCAAATAATTGTCACTGGTGTTGGCCGTGAGCGGGAATCGAACTCGGGTCACCAGATTCGTAGCGCAGCGCGCTAACCGCTACACTACCGCTCCCCCCATACAAAGGCAAAAATCCCCCGCATAGCCTACATGTACACATGCACACAATGTTTATCCGAATTGAACTGACGGTTCGTGCGTCACGCTGGACTCTCGTCGTGCACATACAAAGATCCCCCATAGAGACATTAGCAGACGGTTAGGGCAAGTGCTGTTAGCGAGAACCTATGAAAGCCGGCGCGGTCCACGAGGGAGTGTGTGGCCAGCACCACGCCTTTTTGTGCAAACACAACAACCGCCATTGGCCATTAAGTGGCGGTGACGTCACCACGACGCTTGTGCCAGGCTATGTGCACGTTGAGGCCACGTGAAGTGTCGAACGCCCGCTGACACGAGGTCACGGGGCAGACCCAGGTGCCACGGGTCGACTGACTGAGACGACTGGCTGATGCACCACCTGTGCCCCTTACTGTGCCAACTTGCTGTGCTTTAGCCACCCGGCGCTCCGCGAGTTGTTGTGAGCGTCGCTCCTCCGCCCTCCGTTGTTGTTGGAGGGCGACTGCCTCCAACTGCCCAGTAGCATCCTTCACGAGCCTCCTCCACAGAGGTCGATCTTGACACCGCTGGTACCAGTCATCGGCAAGTCCACTCAGCTCCACGTCCTCCTGTACCACATCACTCCGTCTCTTCTCTAGCCCGTGCCGCACCCGTTTAGCCCCCTCGATCCGGCCGAACAAAAGCTGTTTCGGCATGCGGTGGCTGGGCATGCGGGCTACATGACCCAGCCAACGCAGCCTTGCCTGCCGGAGGAGCTCACCGATGGGACTTTGTCCAGATCTTTCAAGGATTTGTGAGCTCCTCACACAATCCAGCCTGGTTAAACCCAGGATGGATCGTAGGCAGGCCAGCCTAAATGTTTCTAACCGGCGAAGATGCCCCATTAGGGTGGTCCACGTTTCGCAAGCGTAGATAAGGGAGGGAATGACCGTGGCCGAGAAGACCCGAAGCTTCGTGCGGAGCGACAGACCAGGCAGCTTCCACACAGCGTTACGCAACCGATGAAAAGATAATGTGCAAATACACACACTCACAAACACAGTAAATATTTGAATTTCAATCAGCACTTTCTACTTGGGACGTGCTTAGCTATCATCAGGCAAGGGCAGCGCGTAACATTTTTATTTGCAAGGCAAGGGGGGGGGGGGGGTCATGGTGGGCTGTGTGAACCCAGAGATTCAGAATCAATGGACCAGTCAACAATATAACACCTTGAATAATTCAAACGATGTCACCCGCCTCTCCACCCCTACACCCTCGCCCCTGACGCTAATGGCATCGCACAGTGTTGGGCAAGTGCACAACACCTGGGTTAGGTGCGTCTAGGAGATACCAACTGCGGGACGGTGAATGGGTTTGGGGGGGGGGGGCGATGCTCCTGTGATGATGATGTGGGTGATGGTATCGCGATGATATTGGTGGTGTTATTGCGATGGTCATGCAGGTGATGTTATCTTGCCGACCCGCTCATACTGGACATCTGTGAAAAAGAGCTTCACATGTCCACGGATCCCTCCTGCAGTCGAAATAAAGATTCCGAATAAAGATTCCGAGTCATGTTCAACCACGTGCGCTGAGCGCCCTCTCCTGGCCGCTCGCAGCGGTGACGATGTTGGTGGTGAACAGTGTTGTGGTGGTGGTGGTGCTGCTGCTGTGGTGATGGTTGTGTGATGGTGTTGATGATGACGTGGTGGTGAGGGGTGAGACATCACCTGCTTTCTCTAGAGATTGTTACCGTATTTCCCGGATTTTAAGACGCACTTTTTGTCCCATATTCAAAAGCAAAAGTTATGGGTGCGTCTAATAATTCGGTAGGCGTGCGTGCGACCAGATCGATATGACTGCATAGCCACCCGGCACACGTTGTGGCGTCCGTCCGACTTTCTGGAGTGTCTTATAATCTGGTTACATATGGGCAATCGAGGTGATTACCATAATAATAATAATTACCCTTAAATTAAACCAGGAAAGCCTCGCCGAGTGTCACAAGGCTCCTTTCAGGAGGATCTTTGCCACCTTGGGGTTTTCGTGTAGGAGGAGGGGACTGGAGGGCCCCCGGGAGAAACCCCAACGCCGCGCTGCTCTGTACGGACGACGGTGCGAGAGGGGGTGGGGGGGGGGGTGTTACCCTCTAAAGCTCCGCACAGATGGATTCACGAACCCACTCGATCTACTGCCATATCCTAGCTCAGCTGGGTCTAAGGAGCGCATGGCGACACCTCAACTCCCGTCCCCCTTTCCCGGATTCGACTTAGGATCGAGGACTCGGGTCGCAAGCCGAGTCTGATCTGTGGAACGAGATGGAACGCTGTGGTGTTTACTTTGAAATGGATTTGTTCGGGGCTGTGCTCCTGAATTTTGTTTTGTTTTTACTCTTCCATTGGGAAATTAATTACCGATGGAAGTCGACCGATCGGACCAAAGCGCTTGGAGTGGGATCGATCGATCGATTGGGGTAGATGATGGGAAGTGGATCGACCAGAATCTGAATCTTTATTTAGACTGGAGGAAACCCGATGAGCTATGAAGCTCTTTTTTTCATAGATGTCCAAGAGGGGCGAGAGAGTGAGGATCGAAGGAGAGCAAGTGATTGGGCTCGAGTGATCGATTTAGCCCAGGGTCCACGGGTGAATCAGACAATCACGCGATTGCAGTGGTGGATCGCGCGAATGGACCCAGTGCTATCGGATCAAGATTGTCAGATTTAAAAGTGATTTTTTTTTAATCGAGTCAAATGATCGGATCGAGTAACGTAATTGGATGATTGTAACGGATTTTACTGGACATCTGTCAAAAAGAGCTTCACTTCTCATCGCATTCCTCCAGGCTAAATAAATATTCTGATTCTCATCAAGATTCTGGATCAGGTCTATAAAACCGATCATTGCAAGCATATGCAACGGATCAGATCGAGTGGGTGACAGTTATCGGATCAAAGGCGATCTGATAAAATCAAAATAATCGGAGCAAAATTCTGGCATCAACTAAAATGATCGGATGAAAGTAAAGGGATCTCAATTATCGGATCAAACCGAGTGATGGGATCGATGTGCCGGCACTGCCCCCTCGTGGCTGACCATGGAATCGCCTCGTTACCGATCCGGCACGCGGGGGGAGTGTGGGGGGGGGGGGATCGATGACACGAGTATTCGTCAAAAGTCGAATCGCGAATAGATTCCCCAAAAAGTCGATCCCGAGCTTAGGTAAAAAATAAAACAACAAAAATCACGACGTTTCGGCCACATCACAAGTGGCCTTCATCAGGTGAAGGGACCAGACTGTTGAGAGAACAGCACTGTCCTCGAGACAGTCTGGTCCCTTCACCTGATGAAGGCCACTTGTGTTGTGGTCGAAACGTCGTGATTTTTGTTGTTTTATTTTTTACCTACGTGACTTTACCGAATAGAACCAAAGAGTATGAATCCTTGCAGTCACGAAAGCTTTAAATCTAGGATCCCGAGCTTGTTTATTTATTTAAATCTCGGTTCCTCGCTCTCGTTTTGCGTCGTTTGTTTTCCGTCTCGACTTGTACAGACAGTTGTGTTCGGCCTTTGGCCTAAGACGTAGCCTGCACGTGGCCTGCACGCAAGGTCCACACCCGGAGCGATCAGTTGCGCGAGAAAATCGCTCTCGAAATCGCGCGACTCGTTCGCCCGCAACTGCTTTGTCCACATCCGAGCGAGTGATTTCTCGCGATAACCACGTGACAGCGTGCGGCTCGTGCACCCCCCCCTCCACCCTTTGATTAGCTCCACCCCTCCCCACGCATCAGCATCGTAACGACCAATCACAGTGGCGCAAATGTGCAGCACGTGGCTGCGAATCTTTGAGCGGATCGACGCTTGACCGTGAGCAGCAGCAACCCGTGGGTTTGCGCAACTGCTCGCAACCGGTTGCAGAGCCGTCCACATTACAAGCGAGTCAGTTGCGTGCAACGGATCGCTCAGGTGCTGTGGACCCGGCTTTTATATCAGCATCTCATTTGCATAAATCGCACTTAATCGCGTGTGTGGTGATTGTAATAATCGATTTTAATTGGTGGTTTGATACAGAGTTATATGGCTATTCACTATTCATCGAACCGCAACAATGTGGGGGGGAAGGGGTCTGCGGTCCATGGGTTTAGGGGGTCAGGAGGGGTCACGTTTGAGGGGTCAGGAGTCAGGGAACTGGGGACCCTCACCACGCTGTGACACCAGAAACGAAAAGGGGGCAAACACGGAAGAGAGGACGAGTCACAATGAGGGGGCGGGGCGGAGCAAAAAATAGCCAATCACACCCCAGCTCCACCCCTAGTGAACTGGCCTTACCCCTAACCAATTAGCCGTTGCTACTAGCCACTAGTGCGAACCCATACGACTAATCCTAACCAATCAGCCACTTGCCCTAGCCTCTCGTGCAAGCCCTTCCCAATAACCATAACCAACTAGCCACCTATACCACTCGCCCTACCTCTAAACTTAACCAACTAGCCACGTATACTCGCCCTACCCCTAACCAACTATCCACGTATACTCGCCCTACCCCTAACCAACTATCCACGTATACTCGCCCTACCCCTAACCAACTAGGCACTAGTATTCGCCCTAACTCTAACCTTAACCAACTAGCCACTAGTACCGGCGCTACTGCAAACTTTAACCAACTAGCCACGAAGAGTCAATCTACCTCTAACTTTAACAAATTAGCCACCAGTTACCCGCCCCCCTCAATGACCCATCAGCCTACCCCCAATTTCACTTCACTCGCACTCCCCCCACCACCACCCAACCCCCCCCACCACCCCCTTTTCCACACCCTGTCCGCTATTTTTTTGTTGACGGGCGTGGTGGAGGGTGGGAGTGGGGGGAGCAGTGGGGGGGGGGGGGGTGTGTGCGGGGTAGGTGGTCAACAGGCGATCATTATTCCTTTGGTCACTCGACGTCCGGATGCTCGGTGGTTAGTGGGGGGCGCGGGCGGTGCCGCCGTGGGGGCCCCGGGGGGCACGGGCGGCGGGGGCCCCGGGGGCGGCAGAGGCGCGCCGGGCGGGGCCAGAACCCCCCACAAGGGAGGCCTCCTCCCCTCACCCCTCCTCGGTGATTCCAGGCGGAGCGCTTCACCAGAGCTGGGGGGGAGGGGTGGGTGGGTGGGGGGGGGGGCAAGCGGAAAAGTGAATGGGGCAGGGAGGTAAGTGACATCACTTCCTCACCAACAACAACAACATCATCATCATCATCGTCGCACCGTCAGCGGTGACGTATTGTTTGTTGTCGTCACGTGCTGCCCCGCCTGCACACCTGTGGAAAAGAGCTTCGTAGCTCATCGGATTCCCCCGGTCTCAATATTCTGACGATTGTGATTCTGACGTGGCCCAAGTGGTAGCGCGTTCTCCGTTTGTTGAAGAGGGGTTTGCGGTCCCATACCGGCAGGCCGCCCCGGTAAATACTGCGGTAGTATCCATATCAGAGGGGTTTTGTGGGGGGTTTAGATCGCGTAAATATATAAATGTGTCGTTAAACCAGCCACCACCCGACACAGCCAAATAGTAAGGTTTGTCACGTGAACAAAACGTGTCGATTAGTTACTCGTAGAGCAGCACACCGGTGTGTTGGGGAGTAAATCCACAACCTTTACAACACACCGGTGTGTTGGGGAGTAAATCCACAACCTTTACAACACACCGGTGTGTTGGAGAGTAAATCCACAACCTTTACAACACACCGGTGTGTTGGGGAGTAAATCCAAAACCTTTACAACACACCGGTGTGTTGGAGAGTAAATCCAAAACCTTCACAACACAACGGTGTGTTGGGGAGTAAATCCACAACCTTTACAACACACCGGTGTGTTGGGGAGTAAATCCAAAACCTTTACAGCACAACGGTGTGTTGGGGAGTAAATCCAAAACCTTTACAACACAACGGTGTGTTGGGGAGTAAATCCAAAACCTTTACAACACACCGGTGTGCCGAACCAGGAACTCATTGCCATGTTTTGTTTACGTGAAGAAACCTTACTTATTTGGCTGTGTTCGTTAGTGGCGGGTTTAACGACACATTTAGACTTATGTGATCTAAACCCCCCAAACAGAACCCCTCTATTATGGACAATGTTTTGCCACGACAGCCTACTCACGCGTTGAACTGACCGCGGCGGTGTGTATCTATGAACTTCCTTGGGAACTTTTGATTTAAAGCTTTCGTGACTGCAGGGATTCATACTCTTGGTTCTTTCGGTAAAGTCACGTAGAAGGGAAACAATCAAATAATTGTATTGTTTTCTATTTATTGTCTTATATTTTTTATTATTTTATTGTTTCCCTTCTACGTGACTTTACCGAAAGAACCAAGGATATGAATCCCTTGGCAACGTTCGTAACCGACCGCTGACCACAGAGCACGCGCCGTCTGCTTAAACCCACTCTGCGTGGACGTTAAAGATCCTGCGGCGTCGCGCGAAAAGAAAAAAAGGTCCATTGTGTTGCGGGCGTTACGGTCCAAAATTGGGAAATATTGAGGAATCCGATGAGCTATGAAGCTCTTCTGGACGAAACAGCGACCTCTGGG